CAAACGAAAAATCAAGGAATCCATCTTAATTGAACAAAACAACCCTAATAATGGCTGGAGAATTTGAAAACAACCCTACTCTAAACCAACACCCCGGGGGTGCCTAATATCTCTTCCAAGTTTTGCAACAGTTCCGGTCATGCGACTTTTGTTCAATACTGTATATATCCGTGTCAGTGTAAATTGCTTGTACCTGATGATGACAAAACCTTGTCGAAACGTTGTACATTTGCTGTTATGTTAAACTTAAAGTTTTTTCATTACCCATTCAAGCCGTCTCAAACCATTATTAGTCTCAAAGTGGGTTCCTCGTCATCGAATATCTTGCAATTGCTTATGTAATGACTAGCGAGTAGGACTATCTTGAACTTGAAATGGTTGAACTTCGAAGCAAGTGTTATCAGATCAGCTACGTTGTTATTAGACGCGAATCCAAAAGCTTTGTGCAACGAGCTATTTCTGTTTGTCTACCAGAGGAATAGTGCTTTATAATCCCTCAAGCTTATCGCCGAAACGCTGGGGACGTGAGAGTATGAAATAACAGATCGTTCTACGCTAATGTTAATAGAGAAAGAGGACTTTTCTAAATGTAACATAACGAAAAAGTTGTTTAAACTAAGTCTTTTAAGTTAAATAGTTCACCTTATAAAGGCTTATGAAACCGCTTTTAGAGACATAGTTCTTCTAAAATGAGACATTTAAACTACAAAGTACCCCTCCGCTGATTGGATACCTTTAATCTAATTAATGATGATTGGCTATTTATCTCTCTGCTCTGTGTTAGTGACGTTGGGCGTAAGTTTCACGTACAGTTTCGCATAAGGCCTAGATTTCTGATATATTACCATATAGCAGTTTTCGTGCATGCAGCACCATTTGCGTGTACCATTTGATGGAGAGTTCTATATTTCTAGTGCAAAGTCACACAATAGGCCAACTTTGCCACGTCAACCGGGTGGAATCGAACCCCGGAATTTAGCGTTATAAGACTGTAAGCTCACCATTGACCAATCTAAAGTCACTAATTTAGGTTATCCATAAGTTTACACACGAATAGAGAAAACGAATGCCTGTGTAGTAAACAGGCCCGACGACAGAAGGGGAGGGGAGCAAAAGGTACTACCCAGGGGCCCGGGCGAATGAAACCTGGCTATGCCGTAAAGACCGCACCTTTAGGCTACATCTTCTTTTAACCATAAAAAGCATAGTTTTTGCTTTTCTTTGCATATAGACGCTTGAAACATTAAGAATGACTGAAATAATAATTTGAGTAATAATTAATATGTATATATATATTTGTTACTTTATAGATTTCATAGATATTTATTACTACTTTATTAACGTTTTTGCGCTTATATTGTGAGGTAAAAAATGCTCCTGCTATGATTTTCCTTGTGTATGAGCTCGTTGCTCTCCTAATTAAGGATCTTTTTAATAAATTCATAAAAATGTTTTAAAACAAGAGAGAGAAAGGGGCCTGGCGAGGATGTTTGTCCTGGGGACCGTGGTGGCTTTCGACGCTCCTGGTAGTAAGCTATTCCATTTTGCTTTATATATATTTTAAAGAATAATACCAGTAAAATTAATATTGTAAATATTTATTTACTTACTAAATGTTAAGAGAAAACGGAAATCCTATGGTCAAGGTTAGATAAGGTTTTGAACGATTCAGTGCTATACAAGAAATAAAATTCTGACTTTTGTTACGTAAAATTGTTAAATATGCATACCTTTTATCAAAAATATGTAACCCAAGTATGTATACAGTCAAATATTTAACTATAGAGCCACAATTATATATTTTTCTCACCGTTAAAACACAATCGTCGATTGTTCGCCAGACGTTACCCTATGTGGTTATGAGCTACACAAAAACCTGAAAGACTTTTACACCGAGAATCAGCCTATAATAACAAGCATCGCCTCCCTCTAGCACAAAGTCCTCTCCAAGATAAAACTTTGGATTTAAAACACTCAAATGCGAAGATTAGATAACACTCGAGTCCATCAAGAGCCTATATCTTTTTTTTTACCCTCTTAAGCTTAAAAATATAAGATTTTTTCCCCTAATTGTGCATTGTGCTTAAACTTATCTAGTTTGTAAGGCTACAACGTTATACGGTTGGGTCTAGACCTAAACGCAGTTAACATGATCGCGGAGACCATACTTTTATTTCATTAATATAGTTTAAAACTGTTGGTAATGAAGCGCCAGAAAGTCGTAGGTTTGTGCATTACAGAGGTCCTTAGGACTAACTACCTTTATACCATTGTATTGAAAAATAATCCATATAAACGTTTTTTTTTGTGCGTTTTTTTCATACCATTACTCTACTTCTAAAAAACAGGTTGTCTTCCATAAGCTCATGATAAATGTGTATACAACTACACAATTTTATAATGGTTTATGGCTTTTAACTTAATTTTTATCATACTGACAACAGCCACAAAATTGTTATTAGAAAACTGTAATAATGAGTTTTTGTTCTTCGATTTAAACTACTCCAATAAATATGGAAAAATATATTTATTATTTTTAACAAAAATAAATCAAACAAGAATCGTTAACTTAGGCCAATGTTTGACTTTTATAGTTGTGTTTTTTTTTTTATGTCGTTACCACTTCTACATAAATGACTGATTATTTTTCACAACAATGTACAGAATGCATTATAAAAAAAATTTCCTCGAATAAGTGATTTATTTTGTTTGCACTGTTCATTGAACTATTATCGGCTAAGGGATATTATATCCTTAACCATCTACTCGGTAACAGGGTATATATTCAGATCAGACTGATTGATCATATTTGATTTAAACTAACACCATTGCCTAAAGCTTCAAGCGACGCGGGAGCGTTATAAGATTAGGGCCAATCCTAATTCGCTGGTAAAGACTAGCTCAAGAGTTAGCGGTGAGTGGTGTTGATCGTCTGCCTTGCCTCTAGCCTATCACTTCAAAAATAGGAACAGCTAGTAGAGATAACACTCTAGTGGCTGTGGCGAAATCCAGCAAAACAAACAAATCATAACAAACTTTCTTATATAAAAAAATAACTTCGATTCAAAAATTACACATTTTATTTTAGAAATATACATAAATTTATAAAGGTTTATTTAATTGTACAATTCTATGCCAATGTATTGATTATTAAACTATCCCGTATTTAAGTTCAAGAAAGTTGAATAAATAAATATATAAATAAATATACATGTATGTATGAATGTATAATATTTATAATTTTTAAAATATAAAAGAAACGTTTAGAGAATACGCTTTCTTTAATATAGATGGCGATAAGTGGTTCTCAAAAAAATTATGTTTAATAGAAAAACCTTCAGCGCTCTCTGTGTTAATTTTTCTCCTTCAACGTTTCCGCTACTAAACTTTTTCCAAAGATTACTAAAAAACAGAATTAGGGATAAACATTTTTGAGCTTTTATATTTTCATATGACCCAAAAACATTTTAATTTTTCAAGTAAAGGTTTTTGTTTGTTAATCACAAAGCTACGCGATGGGCTGTTTTTTTTTTTCGTACCTATCTATTTCATCACATATTGAAGGAAGCCATTTCTCAGTGCTAGAACTCAAAGGTGGCCGTGTTACTTATTTGTTTGATTGTTTCATAACTTCGTGCCAAGCTACACAAAGGGCTATCTACAAATAGCCGTCCTTAATTTTT